AAAAAAAAATAAAAAAACCTGGTGTTATTTGGTCTCAGTGGAAATGATCTGTTTGCTTCTATTCCCTTATGGCTGGGAGACTTACCCATGGTTTTAAGAAGGAGCCAGAGATAGAAAATTGCCATTGAGAAATCTTTTTTTTTTGGATCAACAGTGTAAAGTATAGTAAGCTTTAAAAGACAAATTTCAGATTTCCTTAGCAGCTGACTGTTTATCTTATGGTTAGATATCTCTAGCTGAGGACATCTGTCCCTTTGTTAGAGTATCATTCCCATGTTGGCAGCCCTTCTAGTTTCCTTTTTTGCCTAAGTGAAATCCCTTTCTGCTCATTCAGAGTGCTATTTAGGAGCGGTAAGTGGAAAACATGAAGACTTTTTAAAATAAGTCTTTGGTCTTGAAATCAGTTAAGTCATTTTTACAACTTTCATCTATTTTATTCTCTATGAAACAATTTTGGATTTTTAAAAAAGATTATTTATTTGAGAGAGAGAGCATGTGTGCTTGAGGGGAGGGGAGGGGAGGGGCAGAAGGAGAGAGAGAATCTCGAGCAGACTCCCTGTTGAGCAGGGAGCCAGATGTGGGGCTGGATCTTACCATCCTGAAATCATGACCTGAGCTGAAATAAAGAGTTGGATGCTTAATCAACTGAGCCACCCAGGCTTTTTGGATTTAAAAAAAAAAAAAGTTTTGTTTCTTCCAGTTTACAAATCCAAAAGCAGTTTGATTTTGAAAGGCAAGGACACCTAATCCAGAGTATTTTCTATCTCATGGGAGCTATTGGGCCATGTGGACTGGGGTCCAGCATTGCTTTGGGGCATTATCTGTCAGATTTGTGGGCCCTAGTATTATCTACCATAATTGCTCTCCAAGAGATTGGAGGTTTACTAACCTTGTGCCTGAGAGTCCTGTTTCTAAATCTTTCATTTCTAAATCTTTCATAGCTGTTGCTAGCTCTCCATCCTCAGTGACTCAGGCTCTCAGTACCTTTTATCTAGACCACTGTAATCTTCCTCACTAGTCTCCCAGGCTTGATCTGACTTGCAAATGTGATCATGCCATTCCCCGTGGAAATACCATTCTTGTGTTTCCCAGTGAAAAGTTAAAAATCTTTTTTGTGGCACCAGGCTCTTTCATGATCTGGTCCCATCCATATATCCAGCTTCATCTCTTACCTGGGCTTCCTCTGTACTTTATACCCCCGCATTACTGAGTTACTTGGTATTCTCTGAAGATGCTGTGATGTCTCAAGCTATTTTACCTTAGCTTGACTGCCTGGGAAATTCCTTCACTTCTTAGACAGCTCAGCTCAAGTGCTGCTTCCCTTTGGAACCCTTCCCTGACTCTTCCAGCAGATTTGGGCCTTTTTTTCTGTATTTCTATTTCACCTGTCTGTGGGGGGAGAAGGAGGTATGGAGGAAGGGTGGAAGAGAGGGAAGTGATATTGTGCTGTATTTGTTTGTGTGTCTCTCTTCTGGAAGGTGAGCCCCTTGAGGATAGGGGCTGTCTTTTCATCTCTGCATCAACACTGCTTAACACTGTATATGTTAAATTGTGAGTGCACCTATAATAAGTAAGTGAATACTAAGCAATTATGTGCCAGATTCTCTGCCAAGGTACTGAGGATGAGCTGTGAGACACCCAGACATGGTCTCTGCTGTCCCTGAGTTTATAACCTAGTGGACATACAGACAGATAATTGGATATAGTGCTGTGATGGAGAAGTCTTGGTGAAAATAGGAACACAATGGGCACTCAGCTTTGCCCAGTGGTCCTATAATACTTCCCTAATATGTTTGCTTTTCCAAAATATGCATCATAACTTCTCTCTTAACTTTTCCGTATTTCCTGTTTTCCTTTGTTCTCAGTTGATGATCTGTTTTATTTATTTTTACTAAAAAGGTAGACAGGAATCCTTTCATCTGCCCAGCGAGGGATCATAGCAGCTCATCTGCACCTGTACCCCTTACTCGTTGACTGACTTCCCATGATAATGGTCGATGTGTCCCTTTCCTGTCCAATGCCAAGTCCTTCACTTGGGCAGAGAGCCGATGTTTTCTTGCTCCCTCAGGGACTGTCAACCTCTGCAATCATCTTTCCATTCTGCATTATTAATATCTCTCTGCTGGATCATTCCCATCATATAAGCATGCTCTGATATTGTCCAAATAAAAAAATGTTTATTTGGCCTGAGATATCCCTCTGGCTACCATTCTTTTTCTTCCCAGTCATCAGAGAATGCCATAAAAGAATAGTCTAGTTGCTCTTTTTGCTTTCTCACTTTCCATTCATTCCTCACCCCACTGTTGTGGTGCTCTATCTTCACTACTCTGGCCAAACTACTCTTGCCATCTTGCCAAATCTAATGGCCATCTCCCTCACCTTGCCTAAATGCACAGTGGCACTTAGCATTTAATATAGTTGGTTGCTGTCTTCTGTGTGAAGGACTTTTTTCTTGAGGCTTTTATAGCACTACACTCTCCTGGGTGTTCCTTCTCACCTCATTGGTTTTTCCTTCCTACTCTTTGTGCTACGTGCTTCTCAGTCTGAGGACATGGTGCTAGACTCCTTCTGTTCTCTAATTCCTTTCCATAGATGAATTGAAGTAATGTCTATATAACTACAGTTTACCACATTTATGTTTTTAGTTCTGACCCATTCCCTCCCTGCATTCCAAGTTAGTAAATCCAGTTGCCCACTTGACAACTTCACTTGATGTCTGATATGAAACTCCAGATTGAGGGGCACCTGGGTGGCTCAGTCGTTGAGTGTCTACCTTTGGCTCAGGTCATGGTCCCAGAGTCCTGGATTGAGCCCCGCATTGGGTTCCCTGCTCAGCAGGAGGCCTGCTTCTCCCTCTCTGACTCCCCCTGCTTGTGTTGCCTGTCTCGCTGTGTCTCTGTCAAATAAATAAAAAACCTTTAAAAAAAAAAAAGAAACTCCAAGTTGAACCTTTTCGCCCAGCCATCTGCCTCTTTACCAGTCAGTACGTTGGTTGAAGCCAAAACTTTAGGAGGTTGCCTTGATCCCTTATTTCTGTTATTTCCCACATCCATTTCATCAGCAAGCCCTGTCTTCTCCAGAACATAGCCTGTATCTCTTCACTTCTGTGCATTTTTACTACCATTACCTGACTCTTCAGCTCCTATGCAGTTCCTCTTCCTGCTTAACTCCATAAACCACTCTCTGCTGCAGTTCTAGCAACCTTAACAATTATAAATCAGATTATTTTACTCATCTGCTCAAAACTCTGAATTGCTCTGCTGCACTTAGAACTACATCCAGACTCTTTCCTGAAGTTTAACAGGTTTTGGCCCTTGTCTCCCTCTTGCCCTTAATCACTGTAGTGTAGTTAGTCTGACCTGTTAAACCTAGAACGGTGCCAAGATTATTCTTGCTACCTGGAATGCTCTGCCCCCAGATCTTTGCATGGTTGGCTCCTATCTTTCAAATTTTGGTCTTAAGTAGCACCTCTTAGAGAGATCTCCTGCGACTACCAAATAAAAATAGCTTCCCAGTCACTACTTACTACCTTTTATTTTCTTCATAGCCCGTATCACTACGTGGTATTTCCTTGTTTATTTGCTTGCTTATATGTTTCTCTCTACTAAAGTGTAAGTTTCTTGGGAGCCAGACTCTTGTTCTGTGCCATGTTCCCAGCACCTGGGACAATGCATGGCGCTTAATAGATGTTCAGTAAATATTTTGCTGGATGAATGAACATTTAAGGAGATAGATTAAATTAGAACTGCTTAAATGAAGCAAGCTCCCTTAGGAGGTAGTAAATTTCTTTCCATCTTTGGAAGTGTTTAGGGAGAGAATGAAGGATCATTTGTGGAGGAGCTTTTCAACAGACTTTCTTTGCCATTTTTGTATCCCTTTGCATCTGAGGGATAGGACACCTCTGTCAGTAACACAGGCTCTGGAAGGTTTGTAATTCTCCACCTGGGGAAGGCTTGTCAGATTCTGGACACGGTGAGTATACTTTGGAAAACTTCCCAGGTGATCATGCAGCCTCCCCCAGTATGCCCACCCCCACCTCCTCTTGGGCGTTATGAATCAAAATGGGTGTTGGTCTTTATAACTTGAAGGTCTTTTCCATCTCCATAGGACTCTTTTATTCTTATGTTATTAAAATAAGCTGGGTGATTGTGACCACGGTAACCATACACATCAGTTCATTACCTTATTCACCCTCATGGGGAGCTTCTCTTTTGTCCCTCATATTTCCTGAAACACTACTCTGTCTCTACCCTCCGTCTCAATAGCCACTGTTAATAGTTTGGTGTCTCTTTCTCCAAATTTTTCCTAGGTTTCAACTAAAAGAAATGAGAAAATAATGATAGCTATTTTTTTCTTAAGAGAAATATGGAATGGAATAATTTTTTGGCTTTTTTTTCACTAATATATCTTGGATATTTTTACTGTCAGCATGTAGAGAATTATCTCTTTTTTTTTTGAATAATTGCATGGGATTTTATTGCATGTCTAGTGTAATTTATTGAAATAATCCCCTTGATGACATTTGGACTGTTTTCACTTTTTTTTTCAACTTTATGAACATGCTGTTAGAAATTCTTTGTTCTGTAAGATAAATTCCTTATTCAAAAAGTAAAAACATTTTAAATATTAATGGATATTGCCAGCTCTCCCAAATGGATGAACCAGGCTGTACTCCACAGCAGGATTTTAATTGGTTGCCCTTGCTTCAGTCAATGTCCTTCATATTTTGAAGGGTCCAGGTGCTTGAAAAGATCAGTGGTGTTTCCACAGTGTTTACATGCTTAAGCATAATGAAAACTGTTGCCGTGGTGATGGCCTCTGGAGAGCTAGTCTGGTAGTTTTCTGATCTTTGGGTTAGATGTCAGTTCAGTTTTCTTTCTTGATTGGTGATGGAGTGGATGCTAGCCTGAAGCGAATTTGGGTTTTCTTAAGTAGCGTAATTATTTAACACAGGCATAAAGATATTTTGGGAACGTGTACTCTTGGAGCTTCCTTTTCGTGTCAGATGGTGACCATGGCTAATGTATCAGGTTGGCATCTTCAAGGATGTAGAATATGGCAGGAGAAAGTTCTCTGTCAAGGTTATATAGTTTAGGTCTCTTGCATTTTTTGAGAGGAGCAGCTGCTAGAACTTTAAGATCACGGCTTATAATTATGAGGTCCTCATAGATTAGCATCTTTTATTTTATACTGTGTGCTATCCAATATTATACACATTTTATTAAGAAAATAATTCACAGTTTTACAACACTGTGTCATTCAGCCCAGCTTTGTTACTTTGCTGTTGCCTCACCTGCATCCCAATTGAGGTATAATTATAAACCTAAATTGGGAGATGAGAGTTCTGAAGATATTTTGGTTATATGTATCTTTTTCTGAATAAGCTTTTGGTTTTTAGCTTGAGAAGTCATATTTTTTCTTTTAACTTTAACAAGAGCATAAAACATAAGTGTATAATCATGAATTCCTAAATTTGCCTATCTAGCCAGCACACAGAGCAAGCTACAGAACGTTCCCAGCACCCTAGAGACCTCCTCCTTGTACTTTTCTAGTCATTCCTCCTCCCGTGAAAGATAAAAACCACTATCCTGGCCTATATTCCATAGATTGGTTGGCCTCGTGTTAAGCTTTATATAAATGGAATCATACAGCATGTTTTTTGTGTCTGAGTTGAGTTGTTTAACATTATATTTGTGGAATGCATCCATATTGTGAAGTTCGTTTTTACTGCTAAATAGTATTTTATTGTGTGCATATGCCATAATTTACCCATTTTACTGTTGAAAGACATTTAGAATGTTTCTAGTTTGGGGCTATCATGGGTATCAGTCCTTTGGATGCACTTATGTATCATTTCTGTTAGAATTATTGGGACATAAGGTATGGGTGTGTTCATTAGCAGTCATATTTGTTTTATATTTCTTGATAATCGTTTTCATGTTTTGCTTCTTGTGCAGTTTGCCTCAGGATACAGATCAACCCACAGAACAAAGCGGATTTCCAAGGCATCTCCCCAGAGCGAGCCTTTGCTGATTTTCTCTTTGCCAGCACCATCCTGCACCTTGTTGTAATGAACTTCGTTGGCTGAATTATTCCCATTTATTTAATTGGGGAGTAGGAAACTAGAAGATGTAAGTACTGATCATATCCCTTGTCCCATAATGTTGATTTTGGGAATAGAAATTGAGTGTGGCTGGTTTTGATTATGGTTACCAAGGTTCCCATATTGCTGATAAGACACTTGCAGAATTTTCTATAAGAATGCAAAGTATGCATTAATATCATCATGATTCATCAGTGCTGCCTCTGTTGGTCATTGCCTTCCCTTTTCACTGTTTTGCAAATCATTAAGATAACAGAAAATAAGTTTGCCTCTAGCTAATACATTAATTTCTACATCAATAACTCCATGAAAACAACTAAGATCTTGGAAGAGACATAAATTGTAGCTTCTGCCTGTAGATTTGCTCTGTAATTTTTTTTCTGATTTTGATCTCAGATAACTTTAAATGCGGGGCCATTGTCCCCCCTAGTACCTAGTCTAGTGCTTATACCTGGTAGGTATCCAGTATATGCTGAATGAATGACTATGGCCATTTACTAATAGTTTGTGTGCTGAAGTGGAAATAAATGGAGATATTGGATTAGCTTGGGAGAAGACTTTAAAATCTATGATGAGATGTCATTTGGTTCATTTGCCATTTTCCCTTTATTCACAGTAGAGCTCCTTATTTTCTAAATAAACTTACGTAGAATCTCAGTACATAAAACAGCAATGGTGCCGGAGTTGTTCTGATTGACAGAGTTGAGAAGCCCTCTCTGCTTGGTCTCTCTTTCAGGGGTGATATGCCCTTCCCTGTATCCCTCCCTTCCAAGCAGAATCCTAAATCTCTAAGAAGTACATGAGTGTTTTCAAAACTGTATGTCGATGCTGTTATTTTGTATATGAGAAAACGGGGGCCTTCTGTGGCCACACAGCTAAGTGGTTTCAAAGTAGTGCCTTAGCCAGTGGTGCTCTTGGCCTAGTGCTCATGCAGTAGCCCACCTAGCTTACTGATGAATGAATGTGCTCTTTTCTGTGCCTTTCCACTACAAAATTTAGTGTTGTTGCTGTTGGGTGGCAGACAAAAAAAGAACTTAGGAAATGTTACCTTTTTTGGGGGAAGAATTTCCCTTAATGGACCTCTTTCTGTCACTACTTAGAAATTTATCATTTTTGTACTAATCAGCAATATAATGCATGAATTAGCAACCATGTACAAAGTGTATGCAATAATGTGACAAGGGCTGTACATCAGTTTTGGCATAAATGAATCTGTTAACTGACAATGTTCTATGAATTCTTTCCATTATTGATAATAGCCTCAAAAACAGTTCTGTTAATTCAGGTAAGGTTTCATTTTTGGTAGTGGTAAGTTGACAGAAATGGTTTATTTCAGCGAAAAAGTTTGAGAAGTACTTCTTTCTACTATTCTTTAATTTTTTAAAATTTATTTATTTGACAGGGAGAGCATAAGCAGGGGGAGCAGCAGAGGGAGAGGGAGAAGCAGGCTGCCCACTGTTCAGGGAACCCAATATGGGGCTTGATCCCAGGACTCTGGGATCATGACCTGAGCTGAAAGCAGACGCTTAACCGACTGAGCCACCCAGGTGTCCCTCTTTCTACCTTCTGAGTTGGTGTAAATATTGAGAACTCACTTGGAAACTGTTTTAAAAGTGTTTTGGCACACTATACATAGAGCTGAGTTATATACAATTTAGCTCTTTGGACACCTGGTCAGGACTTGAGTTGTCCCCTGTCCCTCCCCTTACCACACCTTCTTTGTGCCAGTCAGTGCCTTATTACCGGGATAGTAGGAGAGAAGGTGTATAAACACAGTAGTTAAAATTCAGCACAGTTATGGGGTGCCTGGGTGGCTCAGTCATTAAGCGTCTGCCTTAGGCTCAGGTCATGATCCCAGGGTCCTGGGATCGAGTCCCGCATCGGGCTCCCTGCTTAGCGGGAAGCCTGCTTCTCCCTCTCCCACTCCCCCTGCTTGTGTTCCTGCTCTCGCTGTCTCTGTCTCTGTCAAATAAATAATAAAAAAAAAAATTCACAGTTAAAGCCACACCAAAGATCTGAACACAGTGTTGTGGGAGTCCAGAGAAGGGAGCTATGTGCCATTTGGGAGCGGAAGCAGCAAAGTATCTGAGAATGGTAACTTCTTGACCAAAGCTAGAAAACAAAACCACTGATGTTGTCCTTACACTTGGTAAACCTCATGAATCACTCATGGGTTCTCTGATAGTAACCATGCTGGAAAGGTCCTGAGTCTTCTGACTGCCTTACTTTAGATTACTAAAATTATTTTTTCTAGATGAGTCATGTGTATGCTTAGGAAGGGAACAGAGCAAACAATTCAAGGATGTTCTGTAGGCTCAGGGAGATACCAAATCATGGAAAATGATTTCCTAGGGCTGTTGTGATTGGTGGAGGACTCTGCTGCTTAGTATTTCAAAATTATGACAAAAACAGACAAAAAGGCAGGCTCAGCAGGAACTGCATACTGCAGACCATATTAACAACTATGGCCACCTGTTCAGCTGGGAATTATGGGCCCAAGGTACGGCAAAATCCTCCAATGACAGATTACAGTGTTAAATCATTCTATAGACCGTGTGCTCATTGAAAAATCCTCTTCTCTGGGACACTGCCCAAAAGGTTTTTCACAGAGATCTTTCATTTGACATAGGTTATACTGTCCTGCTTTTAATTTTTAAACATACATCTATTTGCCCTTATGTGCTTCTAACTCAGCTCTATGTATAGTATGCCAAAACACTTTTAAAATAGTTTCCAAGTGAGTTCTCAATATTTATACCAACTTAGAAGGTAGAACAAAACAGATTGAACATTCTCCGTATCTGCCAAGTACATTGAGGGTTGGGTGTAAAAAGAATAAACATCTATAATGTACTGCTCTTGCATGAATTGGGGGATGACATTTATAACCAGCAGCTACTCTGAAAAAGGCAGATCAAAAGAAAATGGCATTGAGTTAAAAATATACATTTATTCAAGGAGAAGTAAATAAATTAACAGATAGTGGGAGCTCACCATGGGTCCGGCTTTAAATGCTTCTTGTTCTGTGTCTTTATTTTCAAAATAACCTCATGAGGATAGGTTTGCTAATTCCATTTATAGGTAAGAAATCCAGTCTGACTTCAGAAAAATTTTTTTATACCCTATTTTTGCTTAAGTTAGTTTACTATAAAGTATTTGACAGTTGCAGTGTTGAAATGTGTTTAAAAAGTTAGTTATCACTATTCTCCCCTTATTTTCCTTCTTTGCTCTTATTATGATAGTTTAAAAAATATGGAAAAGTACAGAGAATAATGTAACCAACCGCTAGGAGGAATTAAGATTTTGAACAGATTAGGGGCTCCTGGGTGGCTCAGTTGGTTAAGCTCAGGGTCCTGGGATCAAGCCCTGCCTCAGGCTCCCCGCTCAGCGGGAAGTCTGCTTCTCCCTTTCCCTTTGCCCCTCCTTCCTGCTCCTGCTTGCACTTTCTCTCTCTCTCCCCCAAATAAATAAATCTTAAAAAAAAAAAAGAAAATATTTTGAACACATTAGACATTGTAGATTGAGCTAAAGTTCCCTTTGAATCCCTCTCTAGTCCCCTTTCCTTCCTTCTGCTGTAAGACCTGAGCTTCATGACAGTTTCTTTCAGCCAGGACTAATGTAAAACCTAAGTCTGTTAACATAGCTTTTTCCAACCTTCAGCCTTTGTGGTCTCTTGAAAACACATCCTATGGTAAAAGAGCCACTCAGTTGGCAGCACTGGTTTATATAGGTGGCTGTCCCAGGGGCCAAGAATCAACTCATATTTATTTTTTTATTTTTGTTTTTATTTTTTAAATGATGACTTACTTTGAGATCACTTTATTTTTAAGCCATCTCCACACCCAACATGGGGCTCGAACTCATGACCCTGGGATCAGGAGTTGAATGTTCTACCCACTGAGCCAGCCAGGTGCCCCACTCATGGTATTTTTTAAGATTATCATAAAAATAAAAATGCTCCTCGTGAACTTCGGAGTTGTCTTGATGACGTACATGGTCACTGGATCTGAGGGAGAGTGAACCAGGCAGAAAGGGACAAGCCTGAGCTTGGAAATATGCTCAGCCTAGAGGGAGGTTGTTTGCCAAATGCTCCAATGCTCGTGTTAAAATTTTGTTAGTGTTGCTTTGTTTTTATAATGGAGGCCATTCTCCCGCAGATCTTTAAAAAGTCATAGTGTTTAATCCTGGCTGGAACAAGGGCACTGACAGGGCTGGGCCGAACAGAACTCTGACAAGCAGTGCTATTTACAAACAATTGCTGTTGACTTTTTGAATTTATCAGTAAAGTACAATAATCCCCTCTTACCTGTGGGGGAAACATTCCAAGACCCCCAGTGGATGTAGTACTGAACCCTGCAATACTAGTGTTTTTCATATATACATATATGACCGATGATAAAGTTCAGTTTGTCGGGCACAGGAAGAGATTAACAACAGTAACTACCAACAAAATAGAACAATTGTAATAATATACTGGAATTAAAGTTTTGTGAATGTGTGATCAGAATCTCTCACTGTCCTATGTCCACCCGTCTTGTGATGATGTGAGATGAGAAAATGCCTACATGATGAGATAAAGCGAGGGGAATGATGGAGGCACTGTGACCTAGCGTTTGGCTACGTTGACCCGACAGTATGTCAGAAGGTGGGTCATCTGCTTCTCCTGTGATTGACTGCAGTAACTTTATGAATACGAGGGTACTAATGTGTAGTGTCCTAGAAAATTACCTCTGGAAGGGAATCTAAGTATTATTCTTTAGGCTCTCCTGCCATCTAGTGGGGTTGTACATTTCAAATGCTGAGAATGTACTACAAAGCAAAAGGAAAGAGTTGGGGGGGGGAAACCACTGATAGCTTTGTGATAAAATCTAGTTTCTTTCTAGTCACATGAGGGCAGCAGAGGTCCAAGTGGGCTTAGATGCTGGGTGGGGGTTGCTTTACATTCTGACCAGAGGTGGGCAGTGTGGAGTTAAGGCACAAAAGGTGATGCAATCCTAAAGTGGTTTAGGGATTTTGTTACCCAGGGAA